CCGCGGGGTGGCCGGCTGCTGCGTGTGGTGGGCGGTGGGCTGGAGAAACGGAGGAATCCACCGGCCTGCCGCGCTACCCGACAGAGCTGCCTGTCCTCAGGGCTTGGCTAATCGTCTCCTCACTGATGGCAGAGCGTAGTGTTGCTTTGGTTTACTGACTGAACGAGCGGGCAGTCCCCAGCACAATCCCGAGTGTGGTTGGGCCAGGAGGACCCCCTAGGTAGCACGTCCGTTTCAGAGCAGTCAGGACGACAGGCAATGCTGCACTCTGCTACCAGTATTGCAAGTGCAGAGATACAATGCAATACCAGATAACAAATGTCACTTTCTGTATTCTTTCCCTTGTGTTTTTCTGACCTAGTGGGTCACATGCCAGCATTTTGAAGGCCGTGGTTGTTTCGGCAGGTAAATGCCCTGAAATCCTTCCTTAGAAGCACTAGATGTGCATACCACAAGACGGTGACGGTGGCAGGTGCCTGATTTACATGCCTTGGATCAGGGAACATGATGAGACATCAAAAAGGATTGTGTGTGCCCCCTTGCTCGGAGTGCTCTGAAATTGGCTCCTGGGTTGAGGGGGCTTCTGTGGACAAAGGGGATGTTACAGCAGCTTTAGGGGTTTGTATGTATAGGCAATGCCGTTGACCCAAAATGTATACTTTTTTTTTTTTTTATACCTGTTTCTTTTATGTTAAATGCTAACAAAGTGGCTTCTATGCTCTAGTATTTGTAGGTTGCACAGGCGTTAAAAACGATGCGTGAAAGCAAGGGTTCTGTCATAAACACTTCTGGGAGGACTTGCTCGGCCTGGTTCTTGCAAGTTCCCAACTCGGAAGCGTGACAGCTTCCTTACAGGAGGATCGCCGCAGTCTTCAATGTCTCCCTTCTGGGCAGATCCAGTGGTTGTGTCAAAAGGAGCGTGTAGCTTCTGAAACTAAACTGAAGGTCTCTTTTTTTGGTTTGTTTTAATTTTATGTATATGAGTTTCTTTTGGGGGAAAAACGTGTTTTGGCTGCAGACAGCGGCCACCCATATACGTGGCTAGTTGTCAAAGGCCTTTTGAATCATCTCCTTAACGGCGTTGTCTCTGGTGGGACTCTTTCACGCTGTGTTAGTTGAATTGACGTGACCCGCTATCCCCTATCTAAGATGAGTATATCTTCAGATGTGGCTTTTTTAGTATATGCAAGTAGAACTACAGTAATCTGGATAATACTCTGAGATAATGCTCCAAGTTGTTGCGTATATAAAGTGGTTTATAACCCATCTAATGTGAATCCCTGGCTCTGAGGTAACTTCTCGTGTTGATGGACACACTTTGTCTTTGTAAACTACTTAGATGGCATTTTCATTTGCCAGACATTAAAGGGTTCAATAGCATATAACTGTAGGGGAAAAGCCAATCTGGGTATATATGTGTTTTGTTTTAAAAATAAATTGTGTACTTGGTCGAAATCATCTGTCAGGCTGCTTTGTGAAATGCAAGTTGTTTCTGTACAGCCTCTGTCGTGCATCCTCTCCGTAACGCCCTGCAGTGCTGCACCTTGAGAAACAGTTCCTCGCACTGAGCAGGGGTGTCAGCCCCCAATACCACTCTGAGATGATGGGAATCTCATGGACCTTTCTGGTGGGGAGTGCCTGAAGTTCACAAATCACCACCAGTCTCCCTTGATTGTTAGCGATTTAACTCAAGCTGTGCTGTAATGGAAGTTAAAATTTGGATCAGCTGCAAAAATGTGTTTTTATAATGAAGTAATCCCATTTTAAATGATGAGCAGGCATTGCTTGGTAATGATTACTTCAGCACTTCTCTGCTTTATTTGGTAGAACTGTTTCTGTTTACGTGTCCTCCAGGACCTCAGATCCAGGCAAGCTCAAGGTCTTAAGCTGCTCAACAGAACATGAGAATCAAGTGTGGGCTCAAGATGCCGTCTTTGCCTGTGGATGAGGCTGCAGGTTAATTAACTGGAACTTCCAAAAATTTTCAAAACTGCGCTAGAAGTGTTCTTGTAGTTTAAGTTAAGCCTGTGGTGACTGTTGTGTGCTGGTTTGGGCTGGGATGGTTAATTTTCTTTGCAGTAGCTGGTATGGGGCTGTTTTGGATTTGTGCTAGAACAGCGTTGGTAACACAGGGATGTTTTGGTCACTCTGAGCCCTTTCTGCTCCTCACACTGCCTCACCGGGGAGCAGGCTGGGGGGCACAAGGAACTGAGAGGGGACGTGGGTGGGACAGCTTGACCCCAGCGATCTCCTACACTGCACCATGTGCTCAGCACATAAAGCTGGGGGAGAGGTTGGCAGGGGGGCCACTGCTTGGGGACTGGCTGGGCTGCGCAACTGCGGGTGCTGAGCAATTTTAATTTGCATCGCTTGCTTTTCCTGGGTTTTATTTTCCTCTCTCTGTTTGCTGTTTTCTTCTTACAAAATATTTTTTAAAATTTCTTTTTAATTATTAAACTTTTTATTTCAACCCATGAGTTTCTTTCTCACTTTTCACTCCTCTGATTCTCCCCACCATCCCACCGGGTCGGGAGGAAGAGTGAGCAAGTGGCTCTGTGGTGTTCAGTTGCTGGCCAGGTTAAGCCACAACAAATTGTTATTTAAATTATCTGTTGTTTTCTGCCACAGGGAAAGGCAGAGTGGAATGGTCAGAATTTGTAATGCTACTGCATGTACCTTACTTTTTATTTCTTTTTTTCTCAGTCTGTCTTCTGTCCCCACCGCCATTGTCCCAGTGCTGTGTATTTATTAGTGTGAGAATAGACCTTTCACTGCCTGGAGTTCCTTGGCACAGTGAATGGGGAAATCTGATGCATAAGCTTCCTCTCGTCAGCTGTAATGTAGCACTTGAGGAGTTCATATCTCCATTTCCTTCCCAGTTTGTTTCTATTTTAATTTGGAAGTGTATAGAAAGAAAAAAAGCTGCTGCTTTTTCAGGTCCGAGACTTGAGTAGAAAATGGTGCAACATCTGTCAGATCTGGCATTTGTTGCTTTTTTCCTTCAAATTTTCTTGACTTCCCTTGGATGCAAGGTACCAAGGTGCTGTTTGAATGCCCCCCTAGTGTGGAAGAAGCTGTAGGGTCACCTGCAGCCCTGCTCATGTTTGTTCTTTTCTTTTTTGATGTAGGGAGGAGAACTGAGGGATACTACAGTAAGAAAAACAGTAAGATGGATTCAGAAGGTTCTGCGCCAACCAGTTCAAAGGAACATCTAAGCAATGATGTAATGGCTACCTCTGGTAAGCACTACCTTTGTGGCTATTGTGCGGCCTTCACAAACATAGCAGTTACTTTTCCCATCCAGAAGGTCCTCTTTCGACAGCAGTTGTATGGTCTGAAAACAAAGGATGCAGTACATCAGCTGCAGAAAGATGGAATTCGAAATCTCTATCGTGGCATCCTTCCTCCATTAATGCAGAAAACGACAACGCTGGCTCTAATGTTTGGCTTGTATGAAGATTTCTCCTCCCTGCTCCATAGCCACCTGAGTGCCCCCGAACTCCTCACTCGCAGCATGGCAGCAGTGCTTGCAGGGACCACAGAAGCTGTTCTTACGCCCTTTGAGCGAGTTCAGACTTTGCTTCAGGACTACAAACACCATGATAAATTTACAAACACTTACCGGGCTTTTAAGGTACTGAAAGTCTACGGGATGAGAGAATATTATCGGGGATTGGTGCCTATTCTGCTCCGAAATGGACCTAGTAATGCACTCTTCTTTGGCCTACGGGGACCTATCAAACAGTGTCTGCCTGAAGCAACTTCTTACAGTGCTCATTTGGTCAATGACTTCATCTGTGGAGGGCTGTTGGGTGCCATGCTGGGATTCCTGTTTTTCCCAGTGAATGTTGTAAAAACTCGCATGCAAGCTCAAATTGGTGGTGAATTTCAGTCCTTCTCAAAAGTCTTCGTGAAGATTTGGCTGGAACGTGATAGAAAACTGATCCACCTTTTCAGAGGAGCCCATCTGAATTACCATCGCTCTGTCCTGTCCTGGGGCATAATCAATGCAACATACGAGTTCCTGCTAAAGCTGTTGTGAGAACCACGATCTTCGTTCAGCTCTTCTGTTCATTTGGGTCTTGGCACATACGATGTTACTTAATGGCAGGGAACAGTGCCTGCGTAGTGTTAAAGGTAGTTAGTCTTGGCCTTCAATATTTATGGAGTAAATGGTGATGCATCTAAACCTTGGTGCAATTAAAATGCACTTTTTAAAGTATTTATTTGCTGGCAGGTGAGTTTACCCACAATGGAGCTACTAGACAAATGCAACGTTAAAAAAAAAAAACAAAAACCAAAACCAAAAAAACTGTTATATTGGTCCAGCAGCTTCCTCTGTATCACTCCCAAAATTTCTTTATGCTCCGTGATGGAATGTGCTCCGCTGTCCACATTGTAGAACATGAAAATTGAGGAGGGGCTGATGAAAATTGATTCCCTTGCCTGATAAACTTCAAAATCTTGATTTAAGAACTGTGTTTTCAAATGTTACAGGGTCCTGAGTACTCCTTGTTGTTTAAAGCTAAAAGGACAGATCCAGATGAGGATGATGAAGTTTAGAACTTCAAGCTTAAACTAAGCCTACACAAGCTCTTCTGCCAGCCGTTTCGATGCTCGGCTTTAAGATGAACATTTCATTCAGCTGTGTAAGATTGGTTACTAAATGTTTAACTCCAGTTCCAAGTGGGGTCTCTGTGTGTGTACATGTACATGTGTGCCTTCATGTGAAAAAGGGAAAGGTGGAAGGAATGAAACAGCAAATCCTCTAAAGCTTTAAAGTGTCCTTCCTTGTTAAAAAACCTTCTACTTGTAAACATGGAGTTTGTTCTGCTTTTTTTTTTTTTCTCCATTGCTGCTCTTTCTGTTGCTTGCAGTTTCGGGGCCAGAAAGAAGATGACCCTTTCTGTCATGCTCATGAAATAGTTCAGCTTCCTGCAGTTGTGAAAGTTCACAAACACTGCTCTTCTGTACTGAAGTATCTTGTCTTTGGAAATTACTTGTGTTTCGTTTGGGGTGTGGAGTAATGGATCACAACAAGGTATTTACCTGAAACTTGGAATTCTTCCTACTTGATGTGTACTCTTAACAGTTCTGTAAGACCACATTGTGCAGCAGCACTGACAAGATGGGGTTTCTGGGTATTGCCCACATCACAAGGTGTGTGGGTGTAGCAGAGGTGACAGCCAAAGACAACCTTAGAAGCAGCTAGGTAGGAAAGATAAAGCATTTGGAGGTGTGTGTAAGGACTTCTGTAAGTGAGTATTAAAAAGACAAATGCGAAGTAGTGTGTGTTTTTACAGGCAGAGTTGAATTATTTAAGACTTAGAGAAAGGGACAGACGAGCAAGCATGACCATAAAGCAGGTGAGGGTCTTAACAAACAGCATTTCATTCTCCTTGGGGATTTTATTTTATGAAACTGTGTATATAAAACAAAATCTTTTGGATGGTGGAGCAGGAAAGCTTTCAGAAACTGGTCTGAATTAGTCTTTTCCTAAGTTTTGAAGCAGGTATCACTTTTTTTAATCTGAGTTTTCCACTTGCTAAACAGTCCTCAAATATTGATTCTAATCAGTGTGTTATAATATACTCCCTGGCTTCACAGTCAGAAACGGCCAGGCACAAGTGAGCATTCTTGTATCCAAATGTTGTGCTTATCTGCATTTAAATAAAATGTTTACTGAATGTTTGTTACGGCAGAATTTGATTTTTACCAGTGTACTGGGGTTTTTTGTAATCACTCCTTGATGGAATAAAAAATAATTGCATCCTGTTTGTCTGTGGAAGATATTGTATACTTCTCTAACACTGGGAAACCTGAAGCAGTGTAGGGTGACAGTTCTAACATAAGCCCACCACTAATTAGTGATTGGTGTTACTATAGCAAAAAGGAAAGTGAAGTCCTGCTCCGTTGCTGTCTCTGCTTGCGTGGCATGGTTAGATGGAGTGTGCTGCAGGTCTCATGAGCTAGGCTCAGGTATTGTCTTTGCTTCATAACCACTGACCATTCTACAACACAATCGGCAGAATTGTGTGCTTAACAAATTGCAGATGGTTTATGTGTAAGAGGACAGATACTATAATCAGTGAAGGGAGGGGTCCAGTGAGTTTTGGCACACGAGTTACTGTGAGAAGCAATGTTTAGTCTGCTAAACAGAATGTGTTGTCAGTCCAGCAAGAGAGCAGAGGAGTTGCGATGCTTCAACTAACGTGAGAGCAACTCTGTCCAGGTGAGTTCCAAGATTGTTTCCAGTGTTAACAGGCTGACTATAAGCAGGCTGCCTCGGCTCCCTGCTTCATACAGTTGCATTTAAGAATACAAGTGATACTTGGCAAGGATCAGGACAGCGTAGATCTTCAAACCAAGCCTAGCCAGCAGTGTTTCTGTGTGGTGTTTTGCATGCAGGGCAGTGTTACTGCAGGTAGCGTGAAGGAGAAAGTGTAGCAGAGAGAAGTGGCCTTGGCCCCTGTTACCTTCCCTGGCAGCTTAGCACGCTTTCCATGGGACAGCGCGGGAGTGGGAGCCTCAGTCTTTTGTTGCTTGTCTCATCACGGTGGTGCTACAGATAGATACAAGGGGAACTAAACTAGGATGTTGCCTGAACAGCTAGAGGGTCAAACCTCAATTGCTGCCTGTTCTCTAAAAACAGACAGCTGGGACTCATACTGAGGTTTGACCATCTGCTAAACCAGGATTTTAAACATAATTGCTGGTGCTTTGGTTGCTCGTCTTGGTGGACTCCAACAATCATTTCCAGCTAAAGAAGGGAAGGGGAATTCCAACAACAGGAATACTGCAGTGAGAGAGACTAATAGAGCTAGACTTAGGGTAATAACTGCTTTGAGCAAAGGAGGGCAGTATTGCAAAATACTGTTCTGTTCCTTTGAGACGCATTGCTATTCCAAAGACCTTGTATACCTACTTTTTGCTAATCAAGTTTGGCCAGTTCTTAGCTGGTTGGAGGGGGGGAGTGTGTGGGCAGGGTGGAACACAGGCTTTTGCATGGGAAAGTGAACTGGTATGATTGTTCCAGCATGGCTGGAAAAAGCAAGAGGCTCCAGTAACAATTATGAGAAATAAATAAACATCGTGTGTCACTCAGGCTGTGATAGTCCAGTTTGTTGGGGTTGGATTTTGGTTTGGTGGTTTGGTTTTTTTTGTCATAGAAACTAATGTCATCACCTCTAACAACCAGCGACACAGGTTTTCCCTCATTTATTATGGAATGAATAATGAAGGGGCAAGAGAAGGCTGTGCTGACAAGCCCAAACAGCATTTTTTTTGCAGCATCAGGGTAAGTAAACTGGATATAGCGTATTATTTTAGGCAGGGTACAGACTTTACCACTGTGTGCTCTGGTGGTCTGCATCAAACAGGGCTGTTGTATGGATAAGAAATTCAGAGTAAAATTTTTACTAATGTCATTGTCAGGAAAACTTGATGAAAAAGCACTACAGGCTTGAGAACTGCTGCAGCAGCTTAGTATTACCACCTCTATAGCAAAGCCAGGGCAACAAAATGTGCTCGTTTCCTCAGCTGCTTACCTTGTATTCCTTTGCAACAACTCAGATCCACCTTCTGATTTAAACCCAGATGTTATGTTGCGCCTGTGCGTGTTGAGGCCTTAGGTAGGGGAAGCACAACAGCAGATAACCAAGTGACACACACAACATGCCCCGAGCATGCAAGTACCCCAGTGGTCATGTATGACAGTGACACTTGTCTGCTCCACAGCTGATGCTGAGGTAGAATTCATTTTTTTTTGTGCAGATGTTTTTACTGTGCCTAGTGGCTTCACTGGAGCCCAAACCTTTGCAAGTGGAAGTGTAAGAGGGCAGAGTGTCACCCTTGGCACCGGGATCCCACACCGCTCTGCCTCAGACACCACTATCCCAGCAGAGCAGGCAGGATAGCTTTCAGTGTCAGGCTGTTGCCCTGTGGGCAGATAGTTGCCTGCTCACCCCTGCAAGACTCCTTCAGCGAAATTTTACAAGAGCAGCAACACTGCCTTTGAGGGTTTGCTGTTTGAACAGAAGGAGCTCTCTACACCACAGGTCTTGTCTCAGGCAATGGAATGGTTAATTACACTTTGTAATTATCATACTAGTCCCAGGACATGTCCTGACATCCAAGCTTCTTGAGTAAGCTGTTTCTTCCCACATGCATGCTTGACTGCAAGGACAGCAGCAAAGAAACCTGCAGAGGGAGAGACACCTGCATGCAGAGGTGGTTTTGCGCTAAGCACTGGTTTTTTTCCTCTTAGTTGTAGGGAGCAGGCAAGAACCAGTGAGCATTACAGAACAGAGCTCAGTGTAAGATAAATACATTAAAATAGTTTTTAATTCACTGAATTATTAAATGTTTAATTTATTATGCAAGCAAGAGAGACTGTCCACAAATAGTTACTGTACAGCTGTAAGTACAATATTTTCAGAGCAGTTCTGATACTTTCTATACTGTATTAAAAGGCTACAATTTTTACTATGAAATCTCAGGTATTTCAAAATATTCTACATGCACAATTTGTTCTTGTATTAAAAAACCTTATACTTAACTGAGGATACTTAGTGCTTAAGAAAACGCACCTTTCACTAAGATCAGAAAATGAGAAATTTCTTTTTCCTGCAGGACAAAAATATTATGGGCTGTTGACTTTTTTTTCCTTTTACTCCATCTTTTTAGAATCTTGTAAACTAGATTTTTTTTAAAAGCTTTCATTTGGCAAGTGTATTTCTTTTTTCTAAGAGTTCACATTTCACAGAGCAACAGACCCATGTTTTACGGTATCAGGACCTTCGCCACATCAGTGTTACCCAAATTAAAAAAAAAAACCACACCAACAAACAAAAAACCCCCACCAAAAATCAACCAACCCTCCCCATCCCCTCCACAGACCCCAGAAAAACCTGATGCTTACATTCTAATTCTGGTAGTAGGCAATCAAACTGTCCTTGCCGAGACTCCAAGAGTGCAAACAAACGTGTGTGTGTGTGTGTCTGTCTGTAACACTGTGCTTTTCTTTCTATCCCCAATAATTCTGTTTGAAGGTTACATTTTTCCCTGAACTACCCATGTTTGATAAGTGGACTGATGCCCCGTGGCTGTATATGTACTGAAATATACACACACACACACACACACACACACCCTCATACAGAGAAAGTACATGTACATGAATGTCATTGTATAGTTCTGTTAACAGCTTCTCTCCCCCTCCCCACAAATGTCTAACAGTGCTGCAGTGATTTAAAGACAGACCTCTAGTGGAATACTCAGAAAATGCATTTACACCCACAACATATAGTCACTGAACTATTACAAAAGGATTAGTAGCTTCAGACACTAGTTTGATTCCTGTAGACGCTGCTATATGTTGACATTCATTTAGAGATCTTAATTATGCAGTTTATCTGCTTCTGCTGATCAGCCATGCTGTCAATGGAGGAATTCTTTTACTACAGAAGTTGAAGAATATGAAACCATGCATTTAAAAAACATACTGCATGCTTTACAGTCAAGCAGGGCGCTCTTATCTTCAGTAGAAATACACCACTTGATAAATTTTACAGTAACACTTGACTGGTCAAAAGTAAACCAGCTTGAAGAAACCTCTGGTGTAAGCCACCAGCACACTTTGCTCTTAGTGCAATCTTTCATCTACTGTTTGAAACATTTCCTTGCATTTGTTTCAGACAGTTTTATATAGTTCTGGAAGGTTTTGAAACGTAACAGTAAGATAAACCTTTTTTTTTTTTTTTTTTTTTTTTTTTTTTACTTATTTAGAACTAATCCAAAGCTCGCCAACAAATTACATCATTAATTCAATAAGGCAAGGTAATATTATTCAGAAAGACAACTGAAAATCACTCCTTCCACCAAGATGCAACTGCAACGTGTATCTGTTATGAACTACTGAACAGTGCTTTAATAAGTGTTACGTGAACTTCACAGGTAAAACAGATGAACTCTCATTGAAAATTTCCAAGTATTGTTGAAAAGGAGTAGTGAAATGATCAAAATCTAAGACTACCTACTTATTCTAATTCGAACTTAGTACAAATGTAACCAGAAGAACTAGATAACATTGCTACAGCATACATGGACAGAATCCATCGTAATATGCATCTGCTGGACACACTACAAAAGCATCAACATACACCAAATCCCTTAACCAGGTCAACTTTTAGCATCAGTCCTACACTTCTGCTTGGTGGCCCTGGTTTCCAGAACTGGGCAGGGTTGGTCAAGCCACCACTCTTGGTGCTGCGCATTGCAGGCAGCATCTGGATGCGATGACATGTCACTTTGGAGTAACAGCTCTTTACACAGAAAAGTTAAGTGTCCGATGTTTCAGCACAATACTCTTGTAAAAAACAGCGTATCATGAGGTAGAATTAAAAAAGTAACACTCAGTGCATATTAACAGGCAGAGAATTAAAGTCACAAGCATCTACCAGCTCAAGGAATTTCTGACAGGAAAACCCCAAAACAGCTATGGAAACAAACAGACCCAAAAACTTCTTTGATTTCATGGGTGGTGCTTCGCCTCCAAAATGAACACGGTTCAAACCTGTGAGAAGAATATTTAAGATTTCTTCAAAGTGTTACCTGTAGTCTCTTTAATGGTGTTCAGTAGAACACTGAATAAGATGAGAAAACAGCAGCCTAGAAGTGGGGAGAGCGAGTGCTTAGGGAAAAAGCCATCATGGTCCAGTGCAGGGACACGGGGAGAAGGTGTTTCATTATCACAAACAGGCCACAACTTCTAATGGAGAAACCCAAGTGTTCATACAGTCACACCGCATTCTGTTTCAAAATACTTAAGAAACAGGAAACCTAGCGCTGCCACTGGACTACTAACATCAAGAACACAGTGTCCAGCTGCTTTGCCACACACTGCTACTGGGGCTTTTTTGTTGTTGTTCTGGTTTGGTTCCCCCCTCCCCCCCCCCAACAGCTTGGCCAATTAAAAACTCCTTGTACCTTGGCTCCTCCTTTGCACAACAACCCTGTATTCTACAACTGTCCTCAAGTTTTCCGCGTATTTCACTTCCATTGCTTTGAGTCACAAACGAGGGAAGTCCCCCTGAACCGTTTCTAACAAACCAACAAATCCAGGCTGCCCCAGACGTAGGTTCAGGTTTGCAGGCTCTTACACGCATGCAAAAGGAGCTGGGTGCAAATGGAAATGATGCATTTCTAACTGGTCTCAGTTGTGTATTTCATTCAGTCAGTCACTAGGCCCCCTTTTTCATGGCTTGGCCAACTAACTTAAAGTGAGAAAATGCCTATTTAGGAATTGTGTTCCTTGCACACAGTTCCAAAAGCATTCAAAAGGTACAAGTGTTTGAGGTCAAGAGTCAATGTTTTAGAAAACAGGGCACCTCTCCACTTACAATTTCATGTGTCTACTGCTGAGTTCAAGACTACAGTCTCAGCAACAGTGGAACCGCTCAGATGATCTGCTATGGAACATTTCGACCTATGAGTTACTGAGCAAACTATGGCCATTTATTTGCATTGTAAGTTAACTGAGCAGTTACTTCAAAAAATCATTCTTCCTCCTCTAGCTGGCATGATATTCTACTGAGAAACCATCACCAAATAGTTCTGTTAAAAACCCAAGCGAACAGAAAGTTTAGGACTTTTACCAAACAGTAGGAAGTCTGTCAGCTGCACATACTCAAGTACTTGAATGTAGTCCTTTAACAGTCAGTTGCTAGAGAAAATGAACACCCAATGCAGGAGTAATTAACTCAGATTACCAAATACCCAAAACTGAAGGCTTTCTATTACTGAAGAAATTCTACAAATGAGGAAATTTAACATTTTTTTTTTTTGCATAATGCAGCGGAGTCTTAAGTTTCAATGACTTCTCCACCAACACCCAGAGTATGCTACCTACACA